ATGAATCCCAACAGGCAACCAGTCAATACTCACTACAGACACAGTTCAAATTTATTCATCAGAAAATTTAGAAATGATTTTGTACCTCAGATTTTTAAAGCTTCTGTGAATAGTCAAAAATAAATGTTAAGAGTCTACTGCAAGGGTGAAGCAAAGCCAAAGAGCCTCATTCTGAGAAATCTCATTTGTGAATAGAGATGGATAAGACTGAACGCTGTGGCTGGCTCTCAATCCACTCATCCATTCAGTCATCCATGGAACATTTATAAGGTGTCTATGCCAGAAAATGCTTTAGACAATAAGATCTTTGACTTTAATGAATTCATTCTATCAGGCACTACAGAATGATGAGCACAAAGTCAGCAGTTTTGATATATAAAGTGACTACCATTATGGTGGAAAATAGTGAAAATAAGGCCACATGGAAAACTTGGTGCAATCTTCACCACACTCTTCGGTATTTCCTTCAAACTTAATACTTCTTACAATGAAATCTCCAACATACAGCACCCTAGGAACACATATTTTGAATTAACAGGTTTCTGAGAATAGTATATTAAAAGGCAAATGGAAGAATAATTTATCTTACGCTGGTTCTCAGGTACATGGTCACACAATCTAAGAAAAATAATATGAAACAATTTGGTTGTTTGGAAACAAAAGTGGATCATTGTTGTCTTAGGGAGTTTTATGTGCAAAATATTCTTGATAAACATACGATTTCTTTTAAGATATTATATTCTGTGACCATCTGGGGAAATAGTTTTGGGAAAAATACAGCAAAAATATTTAGAGAAAGAAAGTACATTAAAAGGAAAAACAGCAGACATAGTTGATTCTTTTTGACAGTGTTTTATAGCATAAAAATCATGAAGTACTGTGTCCATATCACAGTGATAATGCTGAAAAAATTCTAATCACTTTGTCATTATTCCCAGCAGTGTCCTGGAGCTCCAATTCTAAGGGCAGGACTTGCCATAAGCATCTAACATGAAGATATAACTCAGAGAATTTTTGAGAAATCGTTTCTTCACATGAAGTATACTTGATAATAACATTTTAATGTAATATTGACATTTCTGGTTTTTAACTCCGTTGGACAGAATCTTGATGGAAAAGAAAATCACTTGTGACAGCTCCAGCACGAGGCTCTAATATCATGGCAATTTAACCCGGTTTTATCCTATATCGGAGATATTCCGTCAGAAAAGAAGTAACATTTCCTTCACATTTTGCAGAAGCAAATTATTTCCTATAACAAATAATGCTAAAATTATCTTGAATTTATCTATAATTTCTTGCTCTAATACATACATATATTTAAATATTTTGGACTAAGGATTGATTTAGAAATTTGGACTGAATTGGTCTAAGTTGGTCAAACGACTGAGAAATTGAGTCAAATCATGATATTTGTTGTCCATGTGACATTTATGGTTGACCAGAGGACTGTCTACACTCCTACTGCTTAGAATATGTGATCCACAGGCCAGGTGCATAAGAATTAACTTGGATCTAGTTAGAAATGCAGAATCTCAGTCCTCAGCTGCCGATCTCCTAGATCAGCAACTGCATTTTAACAAGATCCCAAGGTAATGAGAGCACTGACTGTACTAGGCAATATCAAATCTGGCTATTCATGAGAAATACTTCAGGTGTTTTAAAAATGCTTTGATTCCCAGGCCTTACCCCAGACTAATTAAATCAGACTCTTTAAGGGCGGGACCCTGGCATCAGTATTTTCAAATGCTTACCAAGTGATTCTAGTGTGCTGCCAGGTTTGAAAACTGTCGATTACACAATGCCCAATCAGTAAATTCATGTATTCTGAAAGGGCAAAAAAGAAAAAGGAGTTGATCAAGTGCACACATGAGAATAACTTTTACTGGATGTCGGGGAGGGGGGAGGGGGGAGGAGGGGACGGGTATATGCATACACAAAGAGTGCAATGCGCACCATCTGAAGGATGGACATACTTGAAACTTGGACTTGGCGGGGGAGGGGGAGCAAGGGCAACATACGTAACTGAAACATCTGTACCCCCATAATATGCTGAAAAAAAAAAAAAAGAAAAAGGAAGTCAAACCAATTACTTAGTATTTGGTACCACTCTGAACAACTGATTTTTTTTAACTCTTAATAAGTTTGCTTTGCTACTGTGTGAACACAGCCTATTATGTTTCAACTTGCCCTGAAGTACACTGTATTGCAAATCAAAAAGAGGAATGCTTTAGTATCCAAATTAATTAAAAGGAGATTTTAGGTTTGTTTTTCAACTTTCTTTCTTTTTGCCAACCTTATTCTCCAGCCTGACAGACCTAAATGCTAAATTTCAGACAGTGTGCACCTCATAGGCACTGCACTTTTCAGTTGCCTACTTGCTTTTCCACGCGCTCAATTCTCATTTTCCCCCCAAGCATTTCCTTCTCACCCTGAGCCAAATGGATTTCCCCTGAATTCTTATATTGTTCACTGCTCCTGTAATGCACTCTTACTTAACGACCTTATATTATTAGCTCCATCAGTTAGTGGGATAAAATAGCCCTTTTAATTTCTATATAAAATCTCAAGTATTAGCTTAAGCCAAAATTGTATGCATAAATAGGGAAAAAACATCACAGGATAGCACATATAGCCATCATTATTATCCCATTTTATAGTTGAGAAAACTGAGTCACACACAGGAAAGGTAACTGGCTAAGTTTCAACACTAAGATATTTTTTCCAAGACTATCTGACTCAAAGTGCAAAGGAAGTTTGGCTTGCTGTACACACGTGTGTGTGTGTGTGTGTGTGTGTGTGTGTGTGTATGCTTGTTTTTTCTATAGTATAGTACTTTAATGATAACTCAGGGGCAGATTAAGAATATGAAAACACTAAAACATACTAAAAGAAAGCTCATTCTCAAAATCTATGCCTATTCTTATCTCTTGAATGGACCCTGTCATTTTTCTTATTTTTGCTAACTTTGTTTCTTTTGTCAAAAAACTATTGAAGTTTGGTGAGTAAGTCATGGGGAGGCGGTCACATTATACTTCTTTCTTTAAAATTACTTTTTATTACACAAATAACACCTAGATAACTGTTTCTTATAAAATATTAAAACATCATAGATATGGCTAAAATCTTTTTATCCAACACACCCCCACACATACCTGGAATTCCACCCATCTTGATAGTTTTTCCCTCTTCAGACACAGCCATCTATGGCCGTGCACATCCTTTATGAACTTTTTCATACATTTAAATGCATATATGGCATATGATGATAGTTCTTGATGATGGAAAAATCATTTGTCACCTAAAACATATTACTATTG